TCTTTCCCTTCATTTTCTCCTCTCAAACTCCAAACCCATTAAGCAAAAGAGAAGAAAACTAACAAGCATTCTGTTCTCCGAAAGTGGCTTCTCCTCCATGGTCATCTGAGAGCACACCACACCACACGTGCGTCTCGAAGCACTGGAATAAGCGATCTGAGCGCCGAAAGAAAGCAACGACACACCAAATAAATAAAATAAGATAAAAAGGTGAGTATATATGTGCGCATCAGAATCAAGAATCGAATCCAACATTATAAATGGGAGAAAAAACCACCGCGAAAAAATAAATAATAATAAATGAAGCGAAATAAATGGGAAACAAAAAAGTGAAAGAAAAAAACAATATTTAATTTAACATTATTGCCTTTGGTGTTGTGAAGAGAGAGAGCGAGAGAAAGACGCGAGAGGGAGAGTGGCATGTGGACGAAATTGGCGCTGAATCGGAGGGAAAAGGGAGATTAAGGTTGAAGTGAATGGTGGAACAAGCCATGTAATGTAATAATAATCTGGGTCCGAGGTTGTGCTGTTTGAGCTATGAGAAAGATGATATGATATGATATGCTATGTTTTGGATTAACAGTTGCTGGGATAGGGATATAGATATATACTGGAATTGCATGTGTATCTCCTCTTGTCTTCATTTATCATGTTCAAATGATGATAGACTTTATTTTATTTTTTTTTAGCTTCTAATGTTTATCTATGTTCTTCTTTTTACTGTTGGTGACTACTCTAGACTTGTTTTCAGAGTGTTGAAAAGACATTATTTTTTAGTTGGGTAGAATTCGAATCTTTAGAGGGGCAGGTCGGTTAAAGAATGAGAATTTGTGAAAGTTTACTGGTATGGAAACTTGATAAATTTATATATTTTTAACTAATATTTTAGTTTTTATGTAACTAAAATTTATAATAAATTATATATATATATATATATATGAATATTTTTATTTTAATGAATTATACACATATTAAATGTTTTCAAATATTTTTAAATTTTTTTTATAAAATGTTTAATATACAAAAACTTTTTTTTTTTAAATCTAACATTGGTAAACTAAAAATAAAATTTTAATATAATAAAAATGTTGTGTTATTTTTATTTGTTTATTTAATATAATAAAAAATTATTCTCATACAATATTTAAAAATATTTGAAAACATTTGTCATTGACTAAACAACAGATTTTTACGATTCATTTGAATTCAAGATTTATGATTTACAGTGATTCTTATGCATGAAAAAAAAATTGTTGTATATCAAATGTTCACTTATAAGTTGCAAGAGAATTTTTAGATATTTTTTTAACTTTTATGTAATTCAATTTTTATTTATCATAAATAATTATGAATTAAATTTTAATATTTTTAAATAAATTATTAATAAATAACATAATATTATGTTACAATATAAATTATTTTTCATAAATCTAAAACATAATTTATATGTTACTATCAAAATATATATAATTTATATGTTTAAAAATATGTATTTATGTGAGATTTGACTTAAGAGGGGGTTTTCTAGGCAAACATCCAGTTTGACCCTAAAGAAAAGAATATATAAGGTTTCTGTTTTGAATAGAACCTCATAACCTCTTTTCCTCAGCTTTCTAAAAAAAAGGATTTCAGAGAGAAGGTCTTTGATTTGTGTACTCTTTTTCTTTCAATCTTCTTCTCTTCTTCCCAATTCTTTTCTAAGTAGTATTTGTAACCCCCTCTCCAAATTACATATGTTAATTATAACTAATTATTTATGGTTAATAATATTTATATTATTATAATGTGTAGAAAAGATACTTAAATAAATAAATTAAATTTATCTAATTAAAGTTTTATTCAATAAAAGTCACTAGATATTACAAACCATTTTATAACAACTTAGTAAAATAAAACCCCCAATCCTATGCTCTGAATTTTTTTGCATCTGACATTCTAACTGCACATCCAATTTTTTTGCATTATGAGATCTCCAATATCTGGGTTCAAAAATATTTATGAGGTTAGACATTTAATTTCATTCATATCTCACACAAACAAATCAAACAAGTGCATAATAAATTCATACAATTATCCACAGCAATTATCAACGCACACAACAATTTGATAATATTTTTCATTAATAATAGCCCAAATAATGCAATATGCTTATGAGAATGAGATGCAGTTTTTGACTGAAAATATACTTTTAAAAATCATTTTGACTCAATACTCCATGGAGATTTTTCCTTTTGAGTGTTTAGTGAAGCTAGAGCTTAACATCACTCTGTCCAGTGATTCGGCAATGCCCCACTAAACGCGAACAAGTAGACAGTAGTCAGAGTGTCAGTGCACTCGGCAGGCTACCACGGCACAGAATCAATAAAGATTGGCCATCTATGGGATTGCCCATGCCCAAACACTCCCTAGACCAAAGGCCTATCTCCCAAACCAGAGGTCCCGTCTTACCCATTCTACTCAAACCCCATTTACTATCTTCTGACATTGGTAGCATAAAACAAATACATCAGTCAGACTTTCACAACTATATCAAGCTCTCTCTAACTTTATCCTTTTCTTTATCCATCTCGTACTGCCAACTGTCCTTGATAGTACCCACTATCACAATCAATCTCTTGCCACCAATGTCTCGGATAGTAAACATAAAGAAAAGAATTCACGTAAAAAGTATAATTTCAAAATTACAAAATTCATTTTTTTTCTATTAAATATCCTTGGTACAAAATTCATTTCTCAAATATTTTTTTTAAAATTCTTTTCTTTTCCCCCCAAAAATCTTTTGACTCAAAAATGACATTATGCAATATGCAATATGCAATATGCATCACTATTAATCTATCACTTCAAAAATTATTCTCAATCAAACTCTTCAAATACAATTCAAACAATTTCAATAGAAACATTCAATCATAAACAATCAACCACTTCAAGATTCAACTTTAAAACATCAAATTTGTCAAAAAGTACAATCAAAAACCATATCAACTAGCCTAAGGTTCCATGCATCAAAACTTATAAGTAAAGATCAATATTTATTCTACAACTATATGGACATGAATAAAATTAAATAACATCTAACTCATACCTATTTCTCCAAGCTTGCTAGTTTTCTCCTAATATCCTTGATTTCTTTTTTTCATACTTCCTTTTTCTTCCTCTTATCTTCTTCCTTTCTTCCCTTTTTCTTGAAATTTTTGTTGTTTACTCCTTGTTTTCCTCCTTGGTTGTGGAAAAGATGGAGTATTTTTTTGGGTGTTTCTTTGGCATTGGTTTATGTCTAGTTGTTAAGGGTTATTGGTGAGCTTTTTGGTGTGGTTTCTCCTATTTATACTAGTCTCCACCTTCATTCTCTAATCTTCTAGATTTGTAGTTATTTCTTGATATTTCCTAAGATATTTTAATAACATTGTGATTAGGTTTCCATTTTGTAGATATTTATAGGACTTTCTAGAATTTCCTTGAATTATTTAAGTATCTTAATGATTAAGTTTCCAATTTATTTAATAATTTGGTGATGAGATGTTAACTTTCTAGAATTTTGTAGAGTTATTTAGTTATCTTAATGATTAAGTTTTCAATTCATTTTAATCACATGGTGATTATGTGTCCCTTTTTTTTGTAGAAATTTATAGAACATCCTAGAATTTTGTAGAATTATTTAAATATCTTAATGGTTAAGTATCTAATCAATTCTAGATTTCTATTATGTAGAATTTTATAGAACTTTCTTGAGTTATTTGAATATCTTAATAGTTAAGCTTCCAACCCATTTAATCATTTGGTAATTAGATATCTACTTTGGAGAGTTCTGTAGAACTTTCTAGAACATTGTAGAATTATTAAAATATCTTACAAATTAATTATAATTTTGAGAAACTAATATCATCATTAGAATCTTGACCATTAAAAATATAAACTTTTGTCTCTTGATCATCTCCTAATTATGTTAATTAATATTAATTAAATAAATTAGGATTTGCTTATATGTCATAATTTAATTGGTTGAGACTTGTATTTTAATTTCACCTAACTATACATTTTTATTAATAATTATAAGCATACTATATTGATGATAAAATTATTATATCCTTTTGAACATTTTTCCACAATTTTCTAGCTTAAGGTTTTAGCAAAATAATTTTTTTCTTGTTAAATCCTTAGAGAATTTTTATAAATTTTAATTTAGATATTTTCTCTCTTAACTATATTTATTCTTAATCTACACTCAATAAATTATTATTTAAGTTACAGATTATTTAAATTTTCTTAAATTGAGTTTCTCATATTTTACAGTGCTCTCAACGTTGTCCGATAAACAGTCAAATTAGATAATAAAAATACATGTTATTGAATTTAGAAAATCTGGTTAAATAATGCTACATAAATTTCATTCACAATAACTTACGTAATATTTAATATATATAATAATTTGCATAAACTTATAGATAAATAGTTACAAAATTTAGGATGTTACAGTATTGTTGTGATTCATGTAGTGGAAACCACGAATCAAGTCGTTAAATTTGTGTGGAGTCGGACGTTCTTCTTCTACCTCGAAGTTCTTTGGTTTCACTTCGTTCCAAGGTAAGTGAAGCTAGAATCCTTGAGTTTGATGGTTGCATGTTGTCCCTAGAACTTGAATTGAGTTGTTTTTGGTGCAAGGGTGTTATTTCTTCCATTTCATGTTGAGTTTTTTTTTAGTTTCAAGGATGGAAGTCCAAAAATGGCGAAGAATAGGGATGCCCTTTATCACCAAAGGGTTGAGCCATTTGGAAACGGTTAAGCATTTTTGAAAGGGCTGAACTATTTGGAAATGGCTGAGTGCTTTGGGGGCCGCATGACAAGGGGATCTCTAGAGGCAAAGGATTGAGTCGTTTGGAAATAGTTGAGCACTTTTGAAAAGGCTGAGTCGTTTAGAAACGATTGAGCGCTTTGGGGGTCGCATGACAAAGGGATTTTTGGAGGCAAAGGGTTAAGCCTTTTGGAAACGACTGAATGCTTTTAAAAGGGTTGAGCCATTTGGAAACGGTTAAGCGCTTTGGGGGCTACATGATAAAGGGCATCTATAGAGGTAAAGGGCTGAGCCATTTGGAAATGGCTGAGTGCTTTGGGAAGAGTTGAGCGCTTTGGTGTTGGTGCAATTGGTTAGGTTGTCTTCCAAAAACATATATGTGGCTTGTGTTGATTAGTTATGTTCTTGGTATTGATATATTGTTGTATGAAATGTGAAGCATTGATATGCTATTATTGTATGAGTTGTTAAGCATTGGTGTGTTATACGTGATTCAGGTTATTGATTTTTATATGCATTGACTAGATGTAATGTATATAGTAAATGGATGGTGAGGTATTAATGCTGAGAATGCGATGTGACATTAAACCATGATGGCTAACTTAAAACTTGAGGAGAGAAAATTATTTTAAAAATTGAAGATCCTATATAGGATATCTTGGAGTGGTGTTCAGGTAGGCCACTATTTGGAAAACCCTCATTGAGTAGGTGAGTCTCTTAGAGTGGATTTTAAGGTGTGTTAAGTCTTCTCCAAATTCTTAGTTAGTGGTTGAATAAGGTATGAGGTTGAGGGCTACAACCCTTAACCAAGTACCTAAAAAGGTTGCGTGGTTCCTTGAGGATAATCAGTA